CCTGATATCGTGGCTGGTACGTATTTTCCTTATTCCTATTATTTTGAGATTTGTTTATGATTATACTATGTTATATATAGGTACTTTTCTTGTGAGTTCTATGCCTGCTTTGGTGTTATTTGACTCGGGTACGAGTCGATCCTTCGTGTCCTTATCCTTTAGTCAACACATTAGTGTTAGACGTGAGGCGTTGAGTCGACCTCTGAGAGTTTCTATAGCTGACGAGCATGCGGTTTTTGCCACTGATGTGTTTCGGGGATGTGTGTTAGAGATTTTCGGTGTTGAGTTTCCTGTAGATCTGGTGCCGATAGCGATGGGTGATGTCTGTGTCATAGTGGGCATGGACTGGTTGAGCCGGTTTGGAGCTGTGATTAATTGTGAGCGTCAATTGGTGACCATACGAGACCCTAGTGGGGGAGTGCTTACTATGTATGGCGAGGGGACCAGATCTGGATCAGCTTTCTGCTCTGCTGCTAGGGCGAGACAGAGTTTACAACAGGGATGTATGAGATATTTAGCTTATGTGACGGATACGAGAGTTGCCACTGAGAGGCCGAGTTCTACCTCCAAGGTTCCGATAGTGTGTGAGTTCCCGGATGTTTTCCCCGAGGAATTGCCGAGTGTGCCTCCCGAGAGGCAGGTGGAGTTCCGGATCGATTTGATTCCGGGTTCGGCGCCTATTGCCAAGGCACCTTATCGCCTTGCGCCGCCCGAGATGCAGGAGTTGTCCTCGCAGCTTTAGGAGCTGTGGGTAAGGGGTTTATCAGACCGAGTAGCTCACCGTGGGGAGCACCGATCCTTTTTGTCAAGAAAAAGGATGGTTCACACCGGATATGCATCGATTACCGGGAGTTGAACAAGCTGACGGTCAAGAACCGTTATCCACTACCGAGGATCGATGATTTATTCAATCAGTTTCAGGGGGCGTCTTGGTTTTCCAAGATTGATTTGATATCTGGGTATTATCAGATGAGAGTTTACGAGGAGGATATTTAAAAAAAAGGACTTTAGGACTCATTATGGGCACTACGAGTTTGTGGTGATGCCTTTCGGGTTCACCAACGCACCGGCAGCGTTCATGGATCTCATGAACCGGGTGTGAAAGCCCATGTTGGACAGGTCGGTGATCGTGTTCATCGACGATATTTTTGGTGTACTCGAGGTCCAGAGAGCAGCATGAGGAGCATCTTCGGGAGATTCTTGGGGTATTGAGGGCGGAGAGACTTTATGCCAAATTCTCCAAGTGTGATTTCTGGTTACGAGAGGTCCAGTTCTTAGGACACCTCATTAATCAGAATGGGATCTTGGTCGACCCGGCCAAGATTGAGGCATTTATGCGATGGGAGGTGTCCAGGTCCCCATCCGAGATCAGGAGTTTTCTTGGATGAGAAGGAGCTTCTGGATCCGGTGTTCACTCATCCTTAGCTTCTGCTTAGAGGTAAAAAGCTGCTATCTTGACCATTTCTTTTGTTAGATCTCATCCTAGGGAGTTTTAGGGTTTTCTCCCATCCATCTTTGGTTATTGAGTCATTTGAGCATGTCATGAGATTGAAACCTAAGATCTGGACTATAGGAGGTCCTTTGAGCCCAAAGATCCAAACTTTATAAAGCTAGAGGCAAGCCTTTATGCATTAAACCCTATAATAGAGCTTGTTTTGGCATTTCAATCCCTAGGTGCCATGCATGGACCTAAAGCTTGCAGCTTTACGTGGTTATTTTAGCTTTGGGAAGTTAGATCTAGAGTTTGGGACAGTATTTCTGCTTGGAATCGACTGAATGAGAATTGGTCAAGAGGGACTCGACGAGTGCATGAGCCAACTCGATGAGTCTGTTAGGGTTTTTCCCCGATAGGCTGGACGCGCTACAACTCGGCGAGTTGACGAGACAACTCGACGAGTTGAGTTGGAGTTTCCCGATTCCTCTGAGGACAAGAGAGACTCGACGAGTCACATAGGCGCACTCACCGAGTTGGGTCAACAGGGACTGTTGACTTGAGTGTTGACTTTTGTTGACTTTTAGGGTTTGATCAAGACTTGGATTATGGAGACCATGGAGGGGTAAAATGGTCTTTTACCCATTCTAAGAGTTAGAGAGAGATGTTGACCAAATTTATTTAGATTTGAGGTTATAAGTGTTAATTTTGGATGATTATGACATGTAGGCGGAGATTAGACCGTTCGAGGGGTACGAGGTTTACTTGTTTGCTTACGAGGTGAGTCTTCTCACTATACTTACCATGAGTGGTAACTTGTGTGACCGTAGGGTCTTGTATGCTATTATTGAGTATTGTGATATTCTGCATTATGTCTTTGTGATTTATGGTGTGTATTATTTTGAGCTTTACTGAGTTAGGACCGAAGGGTCCAACTCGAGTTGTGGGACTCGAGGGTCTCCACTGAGACACATCGACCGAAGGGTCTTTATTGAGATATAGTCATGAGAGGCTAATGAGATGTGTGTGGTATTTTGGGGAATTCACTAAGCTTTGTGCTTACCGTGTTATATGATATGTGTTTCAGGTACTTCTCAGGATCGCGGGAGGGTGTCGACTTGATTGTACACACGAGATGGAGTTATGTTTGAGGATCCTGGATTTTTATTTAAACAATTATGGATTTGTGTTTTTTTTTTTGATAATTGACACTTTGGGGTTTTTGAGAAATGTGTTAATGAGAATTATGTGTTTTAAAAATGAAAATTTTGTTTGAAAATTTACGGTGTTGCATATAGAATACGACTCAATAAACATTGTGACAACATTCTGACAGAATGAGAATAACAATAATAATAAAATGTCGATAATAACCTTATAGACGATTTAATTAGCGAGAATGCGTAATAATGATAATAGTTATGTAAGATTGAACCTAGCTCTCTCTCTCTATATATATATATATATATATATATATATATATATATATATATATATATATATATATATGATGTGACATAGACCTCTGGGAAGTCTTCTGGACAATTGCTACGACGGAGATCTGAACATTACAAAGCAAAGTCGTTAGAACCGCCCTAGGGATTGTGCCCCGGGAGCAGGCTCTGACGATTAAGTTAGATCGGTTGGTAGAGATGAGATGGTGAACCATCTTGGTGTTGGGGATAGTGTATGGACATGGCAGTTGATCTCTGAGGTTGGCGGCTGAACCATCAGGAAAGAGTCTAGGGTGGTGGCTGAGCCACCGGAGGAAGTCCTTCTCCATGGAGGAGGTACTGTTCACTTTGAAGAGGACAATTAGATCAAGGGGAATCGAGTCTAGCCTTAGGTCATCCCAATTCAGGCCCAGCTAGCAAGGAGCTGGGAAAAGCCGCCCGGGGGAGTCACACGAGCGCCAGGTGTGACCAGAGCGTGCAACAGACGAGGCTGGTAGGCGAGCGCCAGACAAGGCTAGCAAGGGAGCGCCAGACACGGCTGTCAGGAGAGCACTAGGCAAGGCTGGCAAGGGAGTGTCAAGCAGGACTGACAGGTGAGCGTCAGGCAAGGTTGGCGCGCCAGAGCTGTCTAGGCCATGCCAATGGACCTAGTATCATCAAGTCCCCCCAGTCTGATGTGATTGGTACACGACCAATGACATTGGACTAGAATCGGTCATTTAGACTGTGCGTCGTCAATATATATATATATATATATATATATATATATATATAATATATATATATATATCCTATAAGAATTTTTTGTGGTAGGAAGGTAAAAAAACGACATGTTTTTTTGGTGAATAAAACAAATGAATCAGTAGATAAATAAAAAATAACATGATTTACAAAAAAAAAATCCCGAAAAAGCATTTCGATGATTCATTATTACGATGATTTTTTTGATATCCACTAAAATTATTATAAAAGTGATTATTTTTTCTTTATTTACTTAAAAATGAATCATGAAGGTGTTTTTTTGAGACTTTTTTTTGAATCATATAATGAATCATTTTGTTTGTTTGCTAAAAAATATGTGTATAAAAAATTTATTACGTTTCTACCACATTTTTCTTCTTATTTGCTCTTTGATTATATATATATATATATATATATATATATATATATATATATATATATATATATATATATATATATATAATTTTGTAGCGTGACACACTAAAAACCCGTGCAAATGTTCTTTGTATAAAAAATGTCAGTATACAATGATGATAAAGCAGAGTGTGTGTCTGAATAAATGTTTTGATAACGCAAAACATCTGCAAGTGAAGAAGGGCGAGGATCAGCAAGTAAAAAACATGATTAAATACAGAAAAGAGAGACATATAGAAGTAAGCCGAGAACATAAACTAACTAGGTGAAATGGTCAACAACATATAGGGCGTGTTCGACAAAACTAACTGGTAGCGGATAGCTTGTAGCTAATAGCGTTTTGTTAAATGTTACGTAAAGTAGCTTTCGAATTTGGAACGTTTTGTTTAAACTAAATGTTAAAAGCTTATAGTGTCAAACGATATTTTTTGTTTAAAACAAAATGTTTTGTTAAACACTAAAAGTTAGAAGCTCCCAAAAACTCTGTGCCGAACACGAATATAAAAATAGAAGTCATGTCCTAGACATGTAAATAATAGAGAGTGAAAAAGATCAACACGAAAATCATGAATAAATACAAAAAAATACCGAAACAAATACAATTAACCAAAGAATAGGTACAAGATGGGTAAACACATTGCGGACATCACATAAAAAAACAGTATTTCAACTTCTTACAAAGTACAATATGTATCGAATGAATTTTGGTATTTTTATCGTATTGACAAAATGACTAGATAAAATCAAAAAGTTCTATTAAAAAATTGACACCTTTTGAAACGCAAGATAATCAATTATAAAAATAATAATAAACTTTTAGGACTCAAAATTGGCGCGTGTAATTCACAAAGTTTCTCTGTAATTAAATCGCGAGCGGTTCTAAAATAGCCGAATGTCCACGTCATCGTTCCAACATATGTGAGCGGATAAAGCCGCGTTGCTTCTCATTTTACACAAACCAATTCCGCGAATTCTTCTCCAAAATCCACCGGTACAACCGCCGTTAACCACCGTCAACCACCATATCTACCAACCAACCACCTCTCTACTTCTTTCCCATGGGTGCTAATTCATCACTACTAAGTCCCGACAGTTCAGATGGGTCTAACCATCCATCAAAGCTCAAGCTCGGCGACATCCCGGAATCCTGTGTTGCTCTGGTCTTATCATACTTAGATCCGCCGGAGATTTGCAAATTGGCGAGACTCAATCGAGCATTCAGAGCTGCTTCCTCTGCCGATTTCATCTGGGACGCTAAATTGCCCTCCAATTATCATCATCTGGTGGACGACTACCTAATTAAAAACCCTTCCAAATTGGGGAAAAACGAAATTTATGCTCGCTTATCCCGACCGGTTCCTTTCGACAGCGGAAACAAGGTTCGATTTCTCTGATCCTTTTTCACTTGTACAATATTCAACTCTAGACTAGTCAAAATCCGTCGCGATTTCGACACCATAACTTCGAGTTGTTGGTTTTTGAATTAGTTTTGTTGAGTGGATGTTCATGGAAAAGTCAACCTTGTAATTATTTCTAATTTAGGGGTTTTCGTTACAGGAATTCTGGTTGGACAAAAGAACAGGAGGCCTATGTTTGTCGATTTCTTCCAAGGCATTGGCCATCACCGGAATTGATGACCGGAGATACTGGAATTATATTCCCACAGATGAATCAAGGTAAATTTGATTGTGATTGGTGTGAACTTTTTGTGTTTTGGTATCTTCCATTAACGACTTATACCTTCCATATACCAGATTTCACACGATTGCATACCTGCAACAAATTTGGTGGCTAGAGGTAGAAGGAGACATGGAGTTCCAGTTTCCGGCAGGGACATACTCGTTGTTGTTCAAACTCCGACTCGGGAGGTTCACGAAAAAACCGGGCCGTAGGGTGGCTACCCACGGCGGCCATGAGAGCGTCCATGGGTGGGACATAAAACCGGTTCAGTTCCAGCTCACAACCCCCGATGGTCAACAGGCCATTTCCAAACGTTTCTTGGAAAACACCGGGAATTGGGAGTACCACCACGTCGGAGATTTTGTTGTTGATGATCCAAATACGCCCACAAAGATAAAGTTTTCACTGACTCAAATTGATTGCACACACACAAAAGGTGGTTTATCCATTGATTCGGTTCTCATATGCCCTAGTGACTTGGTTAAAAGTTTTAGAGCTATATTATAGCCACAATGCTCCCCTCCCTTTTTCTATTATGAATCGGCCGAGACACTGTATAAATAAATCAGACATAAGACTCCAGTACCTACAAAATGGCCAATTCACATTGGAATTGAAATTCTTGTTAGACATGATTGTAATGTCTTAATGGTCGGTTTTGAACACATTTTTGGTGATTTTTAGAGCTTAGGGAGAAATTGTTATTAGTTTTTTTAGAGTTAAATTGGGTAGAACGATTGTAAATGTGTCACAATAGTGTCAATTTGATGTTGTAAACATTGTATAGTTCTTGTCGACTATTTTTGTAATCAGAAAAGACAGTGAGGTGATACGTGTTCTTTTTCTTTTGTCGGAATTATCCTATATTTAATTCCTCCACAATGATCGTATATAAATTCTCTTCTTTGAAAAGACCTTACAAGACAAAAATTTATTGTTTATATCATAATCGACTTTTAAAGTTAGGTAAGAACGGAATTACGTTTTGACCATAATAGTAACGAATTTAACTGGTTTAGGCAATGTGCAATATTTTGGCGTTTGGTTTTTGGTTGAGTGTGACTTGTCAACTATGTATGCTGAATTGAACATTTATTTGGAAATACATACAAAGATTTAATTTTTCTGTCAAACACTCTCCTAAAATAACCATCATTTTTAACCAAACTAAAACTCGAATCCAAATTAATTAAATCGTTAATTTAGTACTTAGAATCGAACCAATACTGAATAGAAATCAAGAACCCCAAACCAAGAGACAAGAGGAATTTACGGAATTTACGTATACATTGATCATCCAAAAAACCTACATGGATCATTCAAACAACCCAACTCGTTGAGCCCAATCCTGGGTGGGTTTCATGTTAGTAAATGCGCATGGTTGAAAAAATGTCAAACATTATTGTAATGTAAAATCCAAATGATTAGTTTGTAATCTTTGACAAATCACAATGATTAGTTTATGATCTTTTGACAAATAAAACTCAGATCTTCTAGTATTTTGAGATCAAAACAACCAGATTTTCATAAGTTAATAAATAATCATTGCTAAACTTTATATTTATTTTTAAATTAATCAGATTGTTAGAACTAATTATCTAACTATATGTCAAACAACATGAAAATCACCTTGCACACACCTAACACCCTATTAATCTACGCACACAGTGCTAAACGTTGTTGTGTCTATTTTAACATATGGAAATTGTTTATTTGTAAACTTAGATTTTACACAATTCTCTCATTTATCAAAATCTTTGTTGTCATATTTTAAGATTCGTTTTGTTTGCATTTCTAGATTATTTTCACATTTGTGTGTGATAAACACATGCCGTAAAAAAAATTAAACAAACCATAAAATGTTATTACATTTGAATTTCAAGCCATTAACATTATTACTATCAAAAGTAAACGCTAGACTACAAACATCCTTCATTACACGTGACCTATGATCATCACTAACGCAAAGAAGAAACATACTGACATACCCCCACAATTGTTCGTCTTCTCAACATAAATAATGCCTCTAGTGATATCGATCCTCCCAAACTCCATCTTGAAAACTATTTTATCAAACTTGTCCATAAAACACAAACCCTTTGATATAACTAGAACATGAAGAACATCTCGAAGGGTACCCCTGGACCACGCCTGAACTATTTCAAGTTCATATCACTTCTTACAAGTATTTGAGCTTGGTGGTCGGCCACACAAACCACAACTGTCTCTCTAGTGATGCAGTATGATAAGTGCGGGAAGGGCCGACCCAAGGGGTGTTCAAAAGGTGCCCATGAATGGGGCCCACTGAAATCTAGGCCCAAAAATTTTACCAGATTTTATATTAGCATGTATTTTTTTTGGGCTCAAATGCTCAAATAGGTTAGCGAGAAAGGAAACGATACATAGACAGACGCATGTCCTTAAGAGAGAAGTAGGAATCATATTTCTTCTGCGAAAAAGAGATGACGTTTTGGTTCCTTCATCCTCGTTGTGAAGAAATCTTAATTGGTGCTCGACCAATTAACAATTGTTGATTGCTAGCGGAAGTCACTAAGTCTTCAACGATTTTATTGATCTTTTCTTATGTGCTTATATCTTGAATCCAGAAAACTCATTCAAAAGAAATCCATCAATACTCATTCAACCGATTCATGCTTTTTTCTCCCTGCTTCTTTTTTCATAGATCACAAGAAAATCACTCAATAATCATAACTCATTCAACATTCACCAACAACAATATTCTTTTTGATGGGGTTTATAGGTTATAATTAAAACATGTGGTGGAAAAATTTAACCCTTAAGTTCACATATAACCTATTTGGATCTAGGTTTTCTCTATTGATATCAATAACCTCTGAACATCAAGAACCCTAAGGGAACTCAATAATAATCGAAATTTATATAGAGTTAGGGTTTACATATCTCTTGATTATTGTAGCAAATAATCACACCAATATCCTTCTTGAAAACCTTGGAAAGCAAGCACTAGAAATCTCATGCCTCTGATGGCTCACACCCAAAAACCCTAGAAACCTTGGAATGAAGAGGAGAGAGAGGAAGAAGAAGGAAATTTCGTTCCTAATACTCTTAGAAATGTCATGAACGAAAATTGATGGTCGTGGGGGTCCTATTTATAGTTTAGGTAACTTGCAAGCAAAGTAAAAATCTAAATTGATTAAATAATATATTTAATCCTAATTCAAATCCTTTTCTTTTATGCAACTAGGAGGCTTCTGGAAACCCTAGAAAGACTCTCAATTCCGCTCTCCTCTTGGACGATTCTAGAATTGCATCTTTTGTTCAATTATAATTCACCCCTTGCACCATTAATTAACTCCAATTAACCCAAAATTAATTCCAGATTAATTTTGATTAATAATTAATTAATTCTAATTGATTTCTTATTAATTTATTAACCATATAAATTAACAAATCAATGATTTAACTATTGATCGCATGTTAACAAATTAACATATCAATTATCTATTCCCAATTAATATATTAATCACATAATATGTTAACAAAACATTTCTCTTACTCTCTCTCCTAATATCATTTCTAGCTATTTCTGGTTACGAGGGCAACCCAAAAGTACTATGTTTTTTAATTCAAGTATATACCAATTTAGTTATTGGCTTAGACACCTAATCTAACAGCCTCCCACTTGGATAGGTCTATAACTACAATTGCAAGTATAGATATTGAAGTAACTAGCAAAGAGTGCATTCCAAAGCCACTGCCGAACTCTGATTGAATCAGAAATTGACCCTGCAGACCTCTCATACCTGGAGAGCCTCTCATACCCGGAGACCCTCTCATACCCGCAGACCTCTCACACCCGGAGACCCTCCCATACGCGTAAATCTCTCATACGAAGAAGACCTCACATACCCAGAGACCCTCTCCAAATTTGGACAAAGAAAAGCCTGCTAAAGTAGCTAAAATCCTCTGATACCCGGAGACCCTCTCATACCCGCAGACCTCTCATACCCGGAGACCCTCTCATACGCGCAAAACTCTCATATCTGCATGCCTCTTATACCCGGAGAGCCTTTCATACCCTAAGAGCTTCTCATACTCGCAGACCTCTCATACCCCGAGACCATCTCATACGCGCAAACCTCTCATACCCGGAGAGCCTCTATGCCCGGATAGCCTCTCATAACTTGCAGACCTCTCATACCCGGAGAGCCTCTCATACCCGGAGAGCATTTCATACTCAGAGACCCTCTCATAACCGCAAACCACTCATACCCGGAGACCCTCTTATACGCACAAACCTCTCATACCCGGAGATCCTCTCAAACCCAGGGAGCCTCTCATACTCGGAGAGCCTCTCATACCCGGAGAGCCTCTCATACCCGCAGACCTCTCATACCCGGAGACCCTCTCATATGCGTAAACCTCTCATACACGGAGAGCCTCTTATACCCAGAAAGCCTCTCATACCCGAAGAGCCTCACATACCCACATACCTCTCATACCCAAATACCCTCTCATACGCGCAAACATCTCATACCCGGAGAGCCTTTCATACCTAGAGAGCCTCTCATAACCGGAAGACCTCTCATACTCGGAGAACCTCTAATACCCAGAGACCCTCTCATACCCGCAGACCTCTCATACCCGCAGACCCTCTCATACGCGTAAACCTTTCATACCCGGAGAGCCTCTAATACCCGAAAGACCTCTCATACCCGGAGACCCTCTCAAAAATCTGACAAAGAAAAAACTGCCCGAGGAGCTAAAAGCCTCTCATACCCGGTGACACTCACATACCCACAGACCTCTCATACCCGGAGACCCTCTCTTAAATCTGACAAAGAAAATCCTACCCTATGAGCTAAAAGCCTCTCATACCTGGAGAGTCTCTCATACCCGGAGACCCTCTCAAATGCACAAACCTCTCATACCTGTAGACCACTCATACCCTGAGAGCCTTTCATACCCGGAGAGCCTTTCATACCCGGAGAGCCTCTCATACCCGGAGACCCTCTCATACGCGCAAACCTCTCATACCCGGAGACCCTCTCAAAACCCGCAAACCTCTCATACCTGGAGACCCTCTCATACCCGGAGAGCCTCTCATACCCGCAGACCTCTCATACGCGCAAACCACTCATGCCCAGAGAGCCTCTCATACCCGGAGAGCCTCTCATAACCCGTAAAGCTCCCATACCTGCAGCGCCTCTCATACCCGGAGTGCCTCTCATAACCGGAGACCCTCTCATACCCGCAAACTTCTCCTACACGGAGACCCTCTAATACCCGAAAATATTTCATACCCAGAGAGCCTCTCGTATGTGCATACCTCTCATACCGGAGAGCCTCTCATAACCTGCAGACCTCTCATACCCGGAGAGCCTCTCATACCCGGAAAGCCTCTCATACCCTCATACCTCTCATACCCGAAGACCCTCTCATACGTGCCAACCAATCATACCCGGAGAGCCTCTCATACTGGAGAGCCTATCATAACCTGCACACCTCTCATAGTCGGAGAACCTCTCATACTTGGAGACCCTCTCATACCTGCAAACCTCTCATACCCAGAGACCCTGTCATACGCGTAAACCTCTCATACCCAGAGACCCTCTCCAAAATCTGATAAAGAAAAGCCTGCTCGAGGAGCTAAAAGCCTCTCATACCCGGAGACCCTATCATACCCGTAGACCTCGCATACCTGGAGACCACCTTATACGGGCAAAACTCTCATACCCACAAAACCACTCATACCCGGATAGCTTTTCATACCCGAAGAGCTTCTCATACCAACAGACCTCTCATACCCGGAGACCCTCTCATACGCGCAAACCTCTCATACCCGGA